GATCTATTTTCTATCAGACAGTGTTTTTATCTGCTTGCCTGTTTTTATTGCTAGCTCTTTGACTACACCATTGGTTTTATATGATGTCATAAGCATTATGAGCAATATGAGGAGAGCCAGAGAGCAGGGGGCAGTCGTTGCAATTTCTGATGATGATGATTTCTTCTGTGTGGTTTTGAGCCAGTCAATTCACTGCTCTGTATTTTTCTTTCCTTGCCTCATGTTGTCATCCACCTTCTCTGCTTAGAAAGGCAGCTTCACAGCATAAGACTTGTGTGTGTTTTTACAGCAGGGCCTGCCTGAAGTTGGGGATGCTTTTAGAAAGAAATATATTGCATATACAGAAAAAAGAAAAATTGTTTTGTTGAGCATTTGCTATGCCAGGAGCTGTGCAGAGACAGCTCAATTTTACCCATGTTATAGAATAATCCTTGTTCATATTTAGGCTAAAATGCATTTTAATCCTTCACCTGGGGATTTGTAGATTGAAATCCACACTTTCCTAATAGGAAAGTGACCCTCATAGATAAAATTTGACCTTTATAGATAAAATTTGTGCCTGCAGCATCCTCCAGTTCCAATATTCAGTTTTAGAAGTGGGAGGGCTGGGGAGATCATGACATGGATCTGAGTTAAATTCACTAACTTGTGCATGTGTAAGTATTTCCCCTTTTTCTTTTTTCTTCCCTGAAAGAAATTTTATTTCAGTGCAAATTTTGGCATCTCAGAAAGGGAGTAAAAAACAATTTCATGCTGCTTGGTTTCTTTGATTTGTTTTTTGAGTTGTGTCTCCGCTTTTTTAGTACTTTCCTTATTATTGCTGTCTTCCTTGAATTGTCTTCCTCCAGTATTCCCAGATATGCAAATCTCTATCACCGCTGTGCCGTGTTTCTGTTGTCCTCCTTCACTTCTCCCCTGCTCTGCTGAGATTTCCAGAAAGCTTCATGTTCTCCTGTAGGCACCGTGTGTCCAGGTCCCGGCTCCCAGGAGTGATTCTGCTGCCTGTTTGCACTGTGCCCTGAAGAGCCCTGTCTGCTTTCCAACACCGCACAAGCTGTTTCAAGACTTTACATGTGCTCTTTTGATTTCCTTGATAATTCCTTTTCCCATGACAGATTCCATTCCTTGCACAGGGTTTGCAGTCTTTAGATCCTTTTGCTTGTTGGTACAAAAGCTGTCTTTGTACCTCCTTCTATCAGCTGTGGCAACCCTTGGGTTCTGTTTTGTCAGCCAGACCTCTTCAGTCTCTCTTCTATCTACCTCTTAAATGCTCCTACCTTCTACCTGCTAAATTATTTAACTTAGAATTTGTGTTAACTATTTGTGTGATTAGCAGGTTTAGCTTTGTGAAATGTTTCAGGATAGAACTTGAATTAAAGTTTCCGTACAAAGCAAAAAGTGTTGCACATTATGATCTCACAAAAGGCTAAATTTGCCCAAGAGGATTTCCAGAGAGCCAGATTTCAGAGATTCCTGGAGAATTTGGGGAATTCCCAGGATTCAAAAGCAGATTTGATTTTACCTGTAAAACCATAAATAGCCTGTTAAAAACCAGCAGACAGTGTTTTACAGACCATGGACTGGAGACAGTGGATTTTAATGGCTTGCTTGGGGTGATTGAAAAGCGTTTGTTTTAGTTTATAAGTAAGTCTGCAAAGTTAAACAGCTGGTTTCTCTTCTCAGTTGCAATTACAAAATATTGCAAGCTCTTGAAGTGGAATTTATATGAAAATACTGAATAAAGCTTTCATTTGAACAATCTGTGTTTGTACCATTGTGTATCTGTTCAGGGAGTTTAGGGCAACCTGGGAGATTTAGGGGTGCAGATTCTGTTCCAAATGGAGTCTGGGGTAAATATAAACTAAAATAGGTCTGTAAATATGGAAATGCTTCTTAAAATAATATTTTATTATTAATATTTTTATTTTATTTTATTGCCACCAACAGAATATCTGAGTCCCTTTCTGTAGCAGTAACGAGTAACTGCAGTCCCCTCCTTAAGCAGTAACGAGTAACAAAAACCTCGGGTTTAAATTTTTTATTTAAAAGTTTTTAACTGAGTTCAGGTTAAGATTTGTTGCAGTTACTGTTAGTAACATTCAAAATAAAGCTGAATATATGAGCTTTTTGATTATAACCGACTGTGATTCAGTATTTCATATATTTGCTGGCCTTAGGAACAATGAGCAGTGCTCTGACAGTCAGATACACACTCGATGACTCACTGAAAGCAATTGAGGCGAGGTACCCAGGCTGCCCTCCTTTAGCAGAAGGGGAACATCCATCTCTGCACTGCCATGGAAGGGCTGCTGCTTCCAGGCACACACAGCTTTTGTCTGGCTTCCCTGCTGGCTGTGTGAGACCTCAGCAGAGAAATGAAAGGGGTCCAGGAACTATAATTCCTATCAATCAGCAGGAGCTGCAGAGTGGTGAAGCTGGTGCCTTGCACGAGCTGTGATGTGACAGCTGTGGGGAAGCCAGGCAGAGGGTGGTAGTTTGTGTTTGCTCTAACACTATTTGACAAGGAAGAGTGCAGGAGAAGGCCGTTTTGAGCAGAGGAACATTCTCTTGCTCTGTTGTGCTGCTTGTTTCTTCCCAAGAAACTGTTTTCCCTTTTCTTCCCCATGCTTTGTTAGTGTAATTTTCCCTGCTACTGTTTTTGCTGCTGAAAGTCCTGACTGCTTGTAGGAACCAAAAAGCTCAAGCTGAAATATTCCATCCTGAAAACATCTCAGAAATAGCAGTGTTATGCTGCACACCCTTTCCTTAAGGACAAGTGCCAGGCCATGGTCAAACATAATCTCTCAGCTCTCAGCTCTTACATCCCAGAGAAAGGCTGTGGTAGAAGAGCTCAGAATAAAATATGGCTTCAAGTATTTTTTAAGTTTGGAGAAAACAAGTTCAAATAACGTGTTCTCAATGAGGAGAAGAAAATATATCTGGTTTTAGTAAAGCAGAGCATTGCAGGCAGTGGTCTCGAGTAGAAGTGTTTCCCTCTATCCCAGCTGCCATAGCTGTATTTGGCTGACATACACATGTATATGCAATTGCAGGAAAAGCTTAGAACAAAGACCCTTCAGGATCTCCTGGGCCAAGCTGGCAGAAGGGGCTCAGCTTCTAAATTTCAATACCTATATTCAGGACATCCAAAACTTAGTAAGAGGGGAGCTGCTGTCTGCTTTCCCTCTTCTCATCACTCTGCACAAAACCACCAACAAAAAAGGGCTACAGAAATTAATCAATTGCAAATATCCATAAGGTCCTGCAGAAATATCACTGTCTTTCTTCCAGTAAAAACATGAGGCTCATATTTTTAAGTGTTTCAATAATTTTTCAAAGTAAAGAACTTTATAGACACTAACTAATCCTGCAAGCAGAATCTTATTGTTCAAAATTTTTAGGAAGTATTTAAGAGAAACTTGGAAATGTTTGAGAGATAGAATTAATAAAATTAATTGGTGCATTTAATTGCATAATGGCAGTGAGCATGGTAATTCAATAACCATGTTAGCTGGATATTCTCCTATTACAGCTGATAATATTAGTTATTGCCAGTCTGTTGGCACTGCAAGAAGTATATGCTCAGTTGCAGATCTTTCTGGAGGGTTCTTTTTCTGGACTGCAAGTCCAAATGAATCCTGAATTGCACAGCAGTAAGTTTTCTGATTGACTTGCAGAGCTACCAATTAAAAAAAAAAACAAAAAACCAACCAACCAATTCAACCAAAGCCCCAAAGCTTTTGTAATTGGTGTTGGAAGCAAGAGAGAAATTGTCAGACAAAGCTTGCTGATAAGAATACACAAAAGAATGGGAAAATAACTGCAGAATGGAGGAACTGAGTATAATTTTCCTGCTTTCTTCCTGTTAGAAATTCTATCTATTTTTCTTAATATAGCTGAACAATGTTACAATTGTTGCTATATATACAGTAATAAAAACTACACCCTTTAGAAGAACATTTTCTCACACTGCATCACTCCTGGTTACAAAATAAATATGCAAATATAAATCAACTACAAGGCATAATTTAAATTGCAGCAATGAACTGGTTCTTCCTGTGCAGAAGACAGTGCAGAGCAGCTTTCCAGCAGAACCTGGGACGAGCAGGATGAAAAGAAGAGGCCATGATCTGGCAAGTGACACCAGCTGAGCAGAGCACCAATCTTTGTGTCACCCTGAGCACAGAGCATTCCTGAGTCAGGCATACAAAGAGTGCCTGCTGGTGCTCAGTGCCTGCCAGCACCACACATGTGCAGGGCAAAACATCAGCACCAGTCCTGCCAAAGCCAAGTGTGCCCTGGAGACACCTGGATCCATCCCCTCAAGGACAGGCAAAGGCAGACATTCCCAAAGACAGGAGCTCAATTCCAGAGCTACCTGGTTTGTTGAAATGCATCTGCAGTATGAACTTGTTTTCTCTGCCAGGAGACAAGGAGCTGCCTGTTACCTCATAAACTTCATTGAAAAGCAGAGCACGTACTTCTACACTGCAGCACATGGGCCAGTCCCACCAGAAGCTGACCCAAGAGTTCCTGGAAGAAATTTAACAGGTTTCTCTTATAACATTCCGGCCCTTTTTCACTCCCTTTGTTCTTAAATATTTACTCTAAAAAAAATAAAGCATCTTAATACAAAGTTATTTCTAAGGTACTAAATTTAGGAAGTTCACACACTAAGTGGAAACAAATAAATAGTATTCAGGAGGCAAGATTCTAAACTATGTTAGGGGAGCTCAGTTTCTTTCACCCAGAGAGGAGCATCTCCCACCACCAAACAAAAAGTGCACTATGTGGTATTTATTCTGCTCCACCACCACAATTCTCTGTCTTTCCAGCTGCAACACTGTCAAGAGAAGGATCAGCTTAACAAAGCCCAGCTGCCAAGACAGGAGGAGTGTGCACACAGAACTCCAAGCTGATGTTTTTCTGCCAGGGCTGCTGCAATAAAAATTCAACCCACTTCTACCAAGATGCAAAAAGAAAAGTATCACACCCTGAAAAACAGAGAAATAGGTTTTAATCAACATATCATCTAACAAACACATCTGTTTTATTTGATTACCAAACACAACAATTCTGTTTTAATTCTACTTGAGGTCTTCAGCCTCCTCCTTCTAAAGCCTGCAAATTTTCTAGATATTGGGTGACAGCCTCTATCTCTGCAAACTCCAGTAGTCTGTTGATTAGCTTATCCAGTGCTTCTTTCCCACTTAGAATTTCCTATGAAAAAAAAAGCAGACAAAAGCATTACTGACTGTTCTTCAGCATTATTCTGAAACACCAACTACTCGAACCCCTGAAATGCACTTTGCCTGCAGTCCCTCCACTTGCTCATCCTTTCAGGTCCCTCCCATGTGAAAGCAGCAGTGGTGGACAGCAGCAGGATATCAGCTGCCTGCCTGTGCAAGGCACATGGATTCTGGCAGCAACAAAAGCAGCTACTGCCTTGGTTTCATGTAACCCATGCACCTACATGAAAATTCCCTGCAAGAACAATCAAGGATTGAAGAACCTCACTCAAATACTGTTGGCCACAGCAAGAGTGAGGCTGTTTTGCAAGCAAAGCTCAACTAACTTTTGCCAGGCACTTTATGGCTCCAGTTTCACTCAAGAAAGATCTAAACACTAAGGAACTGACTAACAAAAGCCACTTTTATGCAATCATGGAACTATTTCCTCTGCCATGGTATTCTGCATTCCATTAACTATGAACCATTCCATATTCAGTATGCCCTGTATTTACCCAGGACACCTGTGGGTACAGTTTGAAAAGTACTGCTCCTTATGCAACAGCACTTACAGCAAACTGGATACCTAAGCCAAAATATCGAGGGATCACCCTAAACTTTGTTTTTCATAAATTTAATTTTAAAAAATCCATGATTAGGGGTTTTTTTCCCATTGTAAAAAACCCCCAATAAACAGAATCATAGAATGGCCTGGGTTGGAAGGTGCAGTAAAGATCATCCAGTTCCAAGCCCTGTGCTATGGGCAGGGACACCTTTCACTAGACCAGGTTGGTCAAAGCTCCATCCAACTCAGCCTTGAACTCTTCCAGAGATGAGGCACCCACAGCTTCACTGAGCAACCTGCTCCAGGTGTCTCTCCACCTTCACAGTAAAACATTTTTCCTAACATCTAATCTAAATATACCTTATTTTAGTTTGAAGCCATTCCCCCTTGTCATGCTCTTGTAAAAATCTCCTTCTTTCTTGTAGGCTCCCTTTGAGCACTGGAAGGCTGCAATTAGGTCACCCCAAAGCTTTCTCTTTTCCAGGTTGAACAATCAGTAAGATTCAAGCTATATGTAGATATTTACTTGGACACAAGATCTCAGATAATATTAAAATGAAAACATTCCATTTCAGTTTCTTTTAACTGTGGCTTGTGATGAAAACATAAAAGTTTTTCTCGTTCTTTACTTGAGCATTAGGAGGAGGAAACAATGGCCTGACAAAACTAAAAAGTCCTTCCTGTCAGGTTTTTGGTTTGGATGTACTATGCTGCAAGAATCTCAAATGTCACTTGCCCAGTTTGGCCAAAGGACTCGTGGATCTCATTGAGGACTACATGCTTGGTCACTTTCCACTCACATAGTAGGAGAAAAACACACAGAGAAGTAGGCCAGTGAGCTACAGCCTGTGCCAGTCATCTCTAAGACTACAAAAAGGCAGGAAAGAAAGTTTAAGCTTTCTAAATCTAGTGTTCTGTCAGAGCACAACTGGCTACATTCTTCATATATATCTTAAGTTGTACTCACTAAGTTAATTTTTTCTTTTTATGGTAAATGTGAGTATCTAAGTAGTCTCATAAGGAATCCTTACCTTGATATTGCGTGCATCATATGAGATCCTGTGGTCAGTCACTCTGTCCTGAGTGAAGTTGTAAGTACGAATTCTCTCTGACTGGGCTCTTGTTCCCAACTGCAGCAAAGCAGGAAAAAACAAAATCTGTTGTGTTTAAAAAAAAACAAATACTTCTCTAGAACAGGATGCTTAAAATAAACGGTGATGGATCAGCCTGTTCCAACTACCAGCCTAGTGGTCACTGGCTGGGCATTACTGAATGGTACTGTCTGTGATTGTGTATCACAAACCAAGTTTTTATATCCTCCAGCACATTTCTGTTCCCCCTCTGTAGCTGAAAGAACCACATCACTTTCAAAGGTCGTGTAAGGTACAACAGTCCCTACTTCAAAAAATACACAAGTGGGGTTTTCTGGGGGGAGAGGGGGTTGTAGCTTCCACACAAAATAATGGAAATAGGCTCCATTAATAATGGAAGCAGCACACTCAATGCGTGGCTGTTGGAAATTAGCAACAAAGGAGACAGATTAAGAGTAAGAAGTGAAGTTGCCCTCTAGTGGTGAAGTGTGAGAATGCAAGCAACAATTTTAACTTGAAGCAGAAACCCAAATGTAGCACTGTTGGGACTAAACACTTCACTAAACACTGTGGTCTGGTCTCCACTAAAATGGAGAATTAAATGTTAAAAAACTCTCAGAGAAGTAAATAGATGTCCGTTTCAGTGGGCTTTGGTGAAAATTTCATCTGCACTCAACATGTGTATTTTAGAACATGGAATTTCTTGAATAAATTCCAAAGCATTAGGAAAGGTAATTCACTTTTGCCTGATTTTCCACAACAGTCATATAAATGTATATAAATATAAATAGAAATCCTTTACGCAGCTTTGAAGGCTCTCAAACTGAAATGAATAACAAAGATAAATGGCTCACTGCTTACAATGATGGGATTCATAATCTGCAGGGACAATACACTTAAATGCAACATGAAATAAGTGACTAAATAGCTGAGCTGGAAAATCTGGAGTACTAAGTAATTCTCTACTTCTGAAGCATTTTTATTTCAATAGATCACTGTTGTAGTTTGAACCACAAATGGGAAAATACTCAAAGAATGGGAAAAGAATGACAGGACATTTTGAGCAAAAAGCACGCTTGGCAGCCTAACTTGAGGTAACTCTTCCAGAAGCGGTTTCTTCCTCAAAAGGTTACCTAAACTGTATCAAATAAGCTGCTACTTAATTGCACTGTGGCAGGATTGTTCACTTACTTGTTTCGCTCAAAACCTCTGTATGGCCTTAAAATAGTCTCCTTTAGAAACTTCTGAGAACTCCTGATCCTAGTTTCCATTGAATGTAACTTTTTACTGATGCTTGATTTGTGTAACTCTGGCCTTGATGGGGGCATTCAGTACATGATGTTGAATTTTCCCTTTTGAAAATTTTCAGCCAGTCTTTTGACCCTTTTTCCAGCCCAGTTGATGTCTCTTTTCGTTGTCTGAGAAGGCTACAGTACCACTGAACTGGGGTAAGTAAAGGCAGACTTACCATTCTGAAGTACAAGATTCTCCTCCCTTGTAAGCACCCCTAGTTTAGACACACACTCCCACTTGCTCTGTCCCCTCACCCAAAGAGATCAGAAACAAATCTACAACACAACACAACACAACACCCCCTCCAGATCTCAGGCACCACCTGCCTCACCTGCAGCTTCCTGGCACTCTGCTCCTGACTGAGCTGCTTCTCAAGGACCTGCTGGTAGAGCTTGGCTCTCAGTGTCCGCAGCGCGATTTCCTTGTTCAGCTGCTGCGAGCGCTCCTGCTGGCACTCCACTGCCAGTCCTGCACACAGCCATCCAAGAGCCCATTAGAACAGAGAACAAACAAGCTGAATTAATTCTAACACATTAGGCAAATGAAACCTACTGGAGTGCTGCTGGTTTGTAGGGCCTTTCAGCTGCAGGATAAAAAGTCATTTTAACACACTGGCTGGAACCATTAGTGCATTTTTAAACTTGTCACAGCTGCACTGGGGGGTTTTTGTTCTGTGCTACAGAAAAGTCAGGGATATTTTAAAATTTCATGAAGCAAACAAGTTTCTGACATTGCCTTAAGAAACTGGATTCACTCCAATTAGCTGCCATATGTTAAAAATGCAATTTGAACAGTCTACAAGAGGATGTTTAAAAGAGTGTAACACAAGTTTTTAAAATCTTAGTCCAGATAAGCTCTTGGAGACTGAAAAATTCATTATTCTAGGAGAAAGGGGTGCCTAATAAACACTGGTGAGTCTTGAACTAAATTATGAAAAATGAGACAAAACAAGACTTTAAGTCTTTAAAAGAAATGTGTAACTTTTCATTTGATTTCTGAATAAAAAAGGCCTATAGAGAACAGCTGTTTTCAGTCACTTTTCTGTGCCTAAAGTGATTCTGTATCTTACAGAGAGAAGTTCACTGAGTTTCAATAAAACAAATCCCAAAAAAGACAGAATGGTCCAGTCTACACTGTACCTTCCCATCAATATATGTTTTCCCTTCTATCCAATATATGATAGCATTATCTAGTATTGAATGAAGATCTTTAAGCTTTCTTTCAAATCAGTCATGTAACAACACAGACTCCAGCTAGGCTAAGCATGCCCTTGCTTGCCAGTGGCCATTACTGCTGAAGGTAAAGAGCACATAGTTCAAATTATTTACATCTTCTACCCCATTCCTGTCACCCTCCATTTGTTCTTTCATCCTTCAAAGACAGTTTATTCATTCAACACTCCCTCTAAAGACAGAACTGGCATAATCACTGTGCCCCTGGTACACAGCTCCTGTCTCACACTGTCTGGCTACAAGAGGGACAGAACCAGAAGGGGCTACTTCTCCTTTCTTGGTATAAGGCCCAGCCCTACAAGAGACAACCTGCAGGACACAAGCTTCCTTTTCAAGATACAGATTCAGTGTGATTAAAAGTGCAAAGTACAGCCAGACTTACCTGTAGGAAGGTGCACAATCCTCACAGCACTATCAGTTTTGTTAACGTGTTGCCCTCCTGCTCCTTTGGCTCTGAACGTATCTATACGCAGATCTTTGGGATCCACTTTAACATCAACCTAGAAGCAAAGAAAATTACTACTTCCTGTTCATTCTAAAAATATTTGGATGTCAGTGACACTGATTAATAAGAAATCACTTCTCAAAAAATGGCTCCTTTACAACTGTTCCTAAGTACCAGTCATAATCATTATAATTCTAAAAATGCAGTGTCAAGTATTTCTGAAAAGCAAATGATGCCTTAAAGATTTCACTTAGTTTTTCAAACTCTTACTCCAGATCCTTCACAAAACAAGGTATGTGTGTGTGTCAAACAAAACACAATCACTGTTTTGCAAAACCACTAGCTTTGGCAGAGAGGCTAAGAAATAAGCAAATATTTAAAAACCACGTCTAAACAGCAGTGCAAGGATCTTGTTCATGAGTCAAGCCTGAATGATTCTTGCAACAGTACTTAGAATCATCTGAGAAGAAAACAGGCATATCCAGATCTATTCAAGTAAGGATTGCCACACTGGAAATAGGAGTCCATGATGACCTGGACCATAGTTTGAGCTCAGTGGATGGGAAAGGAACAATCAGTTCTGATCAATGTCGCAAGGAAAGTATTATGAAGAAGCAGGAGAAGGTGCAGAAAAAGCCTACAGGATCTGGTTTTGTTTATTTTTTGTGTAAATTCATGGTCTAAGTGAGAACTGTCCGTATCAGTGCAATCTCAGACAGACTAGCCAACACACTCATTCACATTCAAAGGAGACTGTCTTTGATTTACCAGAGAAGGACACCAATAATTTAAATGAAACAAAAAACTCAAAAGGATGTACAGAATCACATTACTATGCAACACTGAGTATTTTCTTGGATATATTCTGTGTCTTAGTACATGATGTAACTTAAAATGGGCTTACTCATAGCAGTGAGTCTTGTCAGTGTTGGGGCTGGAACACTTAATGAAATGATCACTCACTTACATGCCATTTCAGGCAACATCAAATCCCTGCCAAGTTGCTTCTGATGATCCATTTATACATGTAAGGTACAGAGCCAAGGACTATCATCCCCCAGAGTAAGAGCACTTGTGTTTCATTTGCTGGGACTTGCATGAAGCACTTGCTTATCAGTGAAATCCCCAAAACAGTAACATGCTTTTAAATAACACCTACTCCAATACCAAAATGGGTGAGCAGGGGTTCAGCACCACCTTAGCAAACCAATGAACAGTTTACCTCCTCTGGCTGAGGGAGGACAATGACTGACATTGTCCCAGTGTGAATACGCTGCATTCTTGATGACATGCCCGTCTCAGGGATTCGCTGGACTCGGTGAGTCCCTCCTTCATATTTCAGATGCCTGTAGACATTCTCTCCTGAAATATGAGCAGCAGCATGATGCAAACCTCCTGGAGGGACAAACAGTGTGTGACAAATACAGCAGAGAAACACTGCTTTCCAATTCCATTGTCTTGGAATCTCTGAAGAACTGCTGTACCTATCTCAGCTGGGGTATAGTTCACGATGTCAAAGGTCCAACGTTTGTAGTCAGCATAGCTCTGGTACATGTCAAACATTTCTTTAGTGAACTGTTGGCAGATGTCCCCTAAAAATCAAAAAGCATTACCACATAAACAGCACATTTTAGATTTATCTGCAACTCTAACCCCAGTCATTAGGCAGGTTAATGCTCATCTTTAGAAAGTATTGCTGTATGCCAGTAAAGTATAAAAAAAGCATTAAGAATAACCATAAGAGGTTTAATGGAGTTGGATGGAGGTTGGAAGTAATCTTCACTGTAGGGGCTTTGCTGACCTCCAGTTGTTCTGCCAGCTGTCACTTCTAATATGACAGGACTTGTATCATATTTTTCCTTTGGCACTAGAAGCTGGAAAAGCTGAAAAAAAAAAAAAAAAGAATGCCATTATCTCTGTCATGACCCTGGATCTTCGCTTAATCAAATTTGCAGCCAGACTTCACAATTGCCACAGCCTGAGCACACACAACCACTGACTTCCTTTGACAAGGAAGTTAAGTAGGACTAAAAACTGTCCAATGACCATTGCAACTCAGTGCAGTCAGTGTGGAAATGCAACATGCTAGTGCATTCACATGAAAGCTAGCTGATAGTCCAGTCCTGCCAAGTCAGGTGCCAGGACACCCACCCCAGCCCCAGCTACCTATGAAGACAAAGTTATTAGCTAACCCAGTCAATCTTTACATTAATCTTATTTCTCAGAAAGTCACATTTCATATTATTTTAGTCTGAGTATAGAAATGAGCCCAAACACAGTGGTCTCCACTGAATTGTTTCAACTTCTTTGCTTTTATTTTCCCCACTCATGGGATGCTGTCAGCTGAAGAGAAAATGAAGGATTGTAAGTTCCAATCAGAAATCCCTCAAGAGTGCATGCTCCACTGCCACAAACAGTTACTAGGATGTTATGTCAAATCTCAGTAGCACAGACTCACCACTTTTTTAATCCCCTTCAGCATTTGCAGACAGACAAGCAAGAGAAATTACTCAATCATCTCCTAAGACACAATTGTCACTAACAAGCTTATTAATAATTAATGTTGCCACTTCTTTTCAGGGAGAATACAAAAGCTGGACTTCTGTTTCATTAAACTCAAGTGTCAGAATCTATTAGTAAGATCATAGAGGAAAGGTTTTCTGACATCTTTATTTACAAAGCTGTGAAATTTTACCTCAGGCTCACCTTTCTGCACAACATGTTCATTTTTTTATCCAGGCTTTCCTTCTCTTCTAAGGCAAGCTCGAGAAGTTGTTTCTCATCTCTGCTGTCTAGTTCTAAATTCGAACAACAGGAACAGATGTTAGCCAATCTCACCAAGAGCAAACTATAACACAGCTGTCCAAAGACATGCACTGCAGCACAGAGAAGCTTGTAGAGTTTTGCCAGCATAAAATACTCAAATAAGAGCAGCCCAAGCTAGGATGCACATTGCTAACTCAATGATCATATTTTCCAGGTGTACTAGAAGGAGAAGCAGATATTTTACCTTAACCATCCCACATTTTAGAGCTTACTAACAAACTACAACACATTCTCAAGTAAAGCTCACAGAAGCTCCAAGCCTTTTCTGCTATGGAGGCTCCAGCTTACAGTAATAAAAATTTTTGATCAGTTAGAATAGATTATACACTAAGTAGAAACTTGAAGACAGGAGTCAAGTGAAAAACCTGTCACTGCTAAAACAGGGAACCCCCTCTCCTTTTCATCTTTCTTTCCACTTTTCTACTCACCAGAAAGTGAAACAATTCAACTCACTGAAATTAAAAAGCAAGTCTGGTTGAATAAGTGCACGTTTTTACCATGCCAAGTTGAACTAGATTTAAATTACAACTGGACAATTACCAACACAAATGAGGAGGGAATGGCTGAAGCCAGCTTTGAGCAATTGGGAGTAAGAATGGGGGAACAAAGCAATAAAGAGAAGGTGAAAACTTTCTGCCTTGTGGCCAGCATGGAAACCATAGGTTTGTCTCAGATGCAGCATAAAACTGGACTCAATTGCTTCTAGCTGGTCCAAAAAGTATTGATCAGATAAACAATATCAAATTAACTGCTGTCAGCAGAGATGGTCTGGTGGTGACCAATGAGCTTAAGGTTCAAAGGACTGGTATCCCATTCCTACCTCCCTTCAAAAGAGAATTCACTTAACCTACCTCGTGACTCACACCACCAGAGGGAAACTGGGAAATATTTTTCTGCTTCACTGAGTGTTGCAAATATAAAATCCTACATCAATTGTCAGGAATTCAGGTAGTAGAGAGAAGAGGGTCAGTTAGGGAGCTAAGTGGAAAACAGTGAATAGCCAAATGAAGGGGACATCTGTGTTTTAACTTGGCCACAAGATAAACGGTACAGACATTTATCATTTATATAGACAGAACAATTTGGCTCTATTTAATTAATTTATGGGCTGTAATTTTTTACCACTCTTTTCCCTTCTTTCAACTCACTCCACCCCTCCACATCATAATTTATGGAATTAGAAAAATTCATTATATTCATTTGATTCAAAACCAGCCTTTCTAAGTTGAAATATGAATTTTCCAGAATTTTCTTAATACTTTTTGATTCTTTCAAGAGCATTTATTTTTCAGCATTAAATTTTTGTACCTTGTCTCCTTCACTCATTCTCCTCTTTTCTCCAGTGAAGAGAATTAGAGAGGGTTGAGGATTAAAATATTTTAAATAACCATTTTTTTTCCAAAAGCATAAACATCTCTTTATTATTAAAACTAAAGTATACAAATGTTTTCTACCTCTTTCTAAATAAGTTACATTTACATCTTTTTTTCAGTATGTCTCTTACTGTTTTGTCCACACCCCTTGTCTCTCTCTGAAAAGCACCATGAACTTTTGTCTTCTTCCATTTACAGTGCTGGGTACTGATTTCTCCCATCCTTTGATTTTCCCCTCCTTCTCTGCTTTAATGCAAATCCCATTCTCTCCAGGTCAGTGTCTCCCTCTCTTGGCTTACTACTTGCCACTGTAGCAGAATGGATCCATTTTTTCCTTCCTACTGTTTGCACCTCCTCACACTTGTAACAATGCTGGGTTTTTCCCCAAATGTTGCAACATTACTTATTTCATAAATTCTTTTATTTATTCCCTCTGTACTTTCTTTCTGGTACAAAAACCAGGTACAATTTTTAATTCTCTTTTATCATTTCTACTGTAGCAAACTATCGAAAAACAGCAGCTTCTTAAACCATCCTGTTTATTCCTTAAAGGACTCCCCAAATATTTTCAAAGAAATATTAGCTTTTGCCATTTAAATTGGAAGCTGACAACTCAGAGCCTAATGAAAGTTCATGTCATTTGCTCAATAAATATCACTGAACAGGTCAGGTGGAATATCATTTTAAATAACACGGCGGAAGTCTGCATCTATCAAAGGTTTTAGCCTTGCTAATTTTTTTCCTTCAGTTCAACCAAAAAATAACCTCAAAATGAACACTTCCCAACTATTTCCGTTAGATGGATATCCCTGAGGTTCCAAACAATCCCTACTCTCCCAAAATTATCATAATAAGACCTCAAACTAAAATGAGGCAAGATGAAAACCAGAAGGATGTGGCTGGATGCAGAAAGCCCTTGCAACACACGAGCTCCTGGCAGCAGGGGGGACCAGGGGGTGTTCCAGGTCTGGCTGAACTTACTCACAAGCTTTCCTCAAAGGCTAGGCAATGAAATTTATCCCAAGCACAGCTGCTGTTCTGAAGCAAGCAAGTAGATGTTCTTTATTCTTCACAAGTTCTCCTTTACCTGTGCACATCGCTTCTAACTCCTGAACTTCTCTTTCAGCCTCTTTGATTTCTTGAAATGCAGCTGCAATGGGGGACAGATTGGCACATCTTCTCCTCAGGGTTCTTTGCTCAAAGTCATTTAATGAGTGTGCACTTAACTGATGACTAACCTGCTGGTATTCCTTGCTGAGAGACTCCAGATACTTCTGCACAGCCTCATTCTTCCACAAAGCTTGAGAATCCTGATGGTTTTTCCTGTGCCAACTGTTAAAAGACAGAGTGAATCTAGCTGTGTCCAATAAAGGCTTTGGCCTCCAAAATCCATGGCTGTGCAGTCCCACCATGCAGCCTATCTTCTTTGCAACAGGAGGGAGAAGACAGCTGTCAAGTTGGCTGGGACAGCAGCAACTGGCAAGCAGGCTCTTGAAACGGCAGACCTTTTGGAGAGGTTTCATTTTGTTTCTTATTTTTCCACCTCCTGAAATTAAAAGTACACAGTATATTGGCCAGTGTTGTTATCTAGAAAAAGAAAGCATTCTATTAAAAAAAAAAAACCACAACAAACAAACACAGGGATGGTATCAAGGCCATATCCTGGTTTGATTATACCGACACAAATACAACTGTCATGGACAAAACTATTCCTGGTTTAGTCCCAGTTTAAACCAGAAGCTCTTATCACTATCATTGTGACTAACTGAGGGTTGGAAAAAGTCTTTTCTCCCCCCCTCCTCAAACAGTTTATTTATACTATGGAAAAGCTCCTGTGGATGAGGCTTTACAGACAGTAGCTTCATTTTGCCATATGTCTCATCAGAAAAATCCAACCATTTCATGCCTTACTGATGAAAAAAAAATGCTGCTGAGAAGGCAAATCAATACTAGAGGTAAAGAATTCTATCCAGAGAATGTAATAAATGTCCAGAATTATGTGTCAAATTATATCCACTACCATAAAAGGAGGACATTAGTAGATGACCACACAACAGATCAGTCAATAGGACTTCAATGCAGTTACAAAAAAATCACTCACTCAGAAGCGAGTGAACTGGAGAAGAAGACAGGAGAACTTCTTTATGTGCTTTATGTCCCCCGCATACTCCTTACTGTGATATATTTACACTTAACCAACATAATATTTTCCATCCAAAAAGTGAGTAAGAAGCAGGTACTCTGAAATACAACTCCTGCATTTTTCTGAGACATTTGGCCTACAGTTTTATAGAACCCAGACTCCCCTTAGCATTACTGCTGCTCTATGAAAGATCATTTCCTCTTCACTTTATATCATCAACATTGCAAACTATGTTATGAATTACTACTGTGCTCTAAAATTTTATATTGGAGTGCAAGGCTCTGCCAGGAAAACTACATTGAGATCACACTTATTCTAGGGCTACTCACACAGAAAAGGTTTAACATACAAAGAAGCATTCCTAGTAACCCTGCCAGTGCCACGGTCCCATCTGTCCACTGATTTTTACAAAAATGTGGATTCTGAGAAAATAAGAGCATGAATCTTTTTGCAACAAGATCTCCTGGAAACACACGTTTCAGTTTCCTGACAAAATTATTTTTTACTCATCAGTGACAAGACCTTCTGTGCATCTTCATGCATTTTACTAACAAATTACTGTGACACTCTAAATGCTCAACTCGCCTGTTATTCTCACCTATTTACTGTCATCCATTTGTCCACAATGAAGAAAGAGCAATATGCAGTAGGACCAGAAGTACTGCATCCTGTCTGAATGCTTGTTTTACTACCTACAGAAGGAGGCAAGGACATTTATTCTACTTCTGTACCCTTCCCAGATTCCCCAGCCAGCAGGTGCTATTGAATCCACAGCAGCAATCTCAAGACTGCTTTAACGTACAGAAAGCAAATTATAGCCCTCCTGGAATGCTATAGTGACTAAAACCAGCACTTGCAGCAGAGGGATCCTGTTCCCTTCACCAGGAGCACAGCAAAAGGCACAAATCGGGCTCATCATCCATGATCCTGGATTTCAGCATGAGTGGACTCAGCTCCAAAAGACCTAATTCTGCTGATGAATATGGACTTGCTCCAGATCAGCACAGCCCATTGTTGTTTGGCTAAGTGCTGACCATCGTCAACTCAATTTTAAAACATTAATGTTATATTTTAATTAATTCATTAAACATATTAATTATTAATTACAACCATCCAGCTAATTTTTACTGGTGTAGTTAAAAAGCAATGCACTCAAATAATGACACATTTGTTGTATTGCTTTGCCTGAGCTCTCAGAAATCATATTTTTGGGTTTAAAAGAAAAAAAAAGTAATGAAATAACACAGACCTTCAAGGAAGTCAGAAGTTTCAAAATAATTTTCCTATGTTAAATAAAAAAAGGTATCTCCTTCTCAGAGTGGGGCTGCCACACCTTATTTGCATAAAAATAAATAGACATATAACTTTTACAGAGCTATAAGCATTAGATGACCTATTAAATGATCTCCAAACCAGATTTTAATAACTTTTAAATGTGATTAAAACGACCTCGTGCACGCCACAAATCAAAAACCAATACGCGAAAGTGACAACTGTAATTGTCCAATTAAAATAATAATTTTAAAAAATAATTTCAAGACAGGAAAGAGCTCTCAATCTTGCGAACTCTTTCAGAGGTTATAAAATGCATTGCTAACAACCAAAGATGCGACAGGCGCCATGCAGCAGCACTCGGGCACACACGGATTCGCAGGTGCACGGCAGGAGGAGGCACTGCAAGGCTCACCGACCGGATCAGGAACAGCTCGGGCCCCGGGAGCGCCTCCCACACACCTCTGCCTCCCACCACGGCCACCCCAGCAAAGCCCCGACAGCCGCGCAGGGAGCGCCCCGGCAGCCCGGCCCCGCTGCGGGGCTCACGGGGCAGCGACAGGCAGGAGCGGGCAGCGAGAGGCGGCAGGGGCGGACAGGGAAAGGAGGCAGGAGCGGACAGGGAAAGGAGGCAGGAGCGGACAGGGAAAGGAGGCAGGAGCGGACAGCGAGAGGCGGCAGGAGCGGGCACGGAAAGGAGGCAGGAGCGGGCACGGAAAGGAGGTAGGAGCGGGCGGCGAGAGGCAGGCTCACCGGCGGGGCGGGGGCCGCGCTGGCCCCGGTACCCGCGGCGGGGTTCGGGCACTCACCGTCCGCACGCCCCGACACCGCTGGGATCGCGGCCCGGCCCGCGGGCCCACGGGAAGTGCGGCGGGCGCGCTCCCAGTCCCAGCATGCCTGCGGGAAAACGCGCTTCCCGTCCCCCCGCCGCCACCGGCACCGCGCCTGAGCCACGCCGGCGGCAAAGGCAGCCTCCGCCTTGCGAATCTGGTTAGTTACAGATAAATTTCAGAGAAATCTGAATAAAATAACATTAAGCTCCACTTTGTGTCAGAGCTCACTATTCAATTCTATTTAAAATGAATTATTACTGGTCTACTTAAGGCAAGCAAAATATTAATAATAATTACCATTCTGCTTATGACTATGCTAGTTAGCTGCAGCTTCCTCATAAAGTATGCTTTAAAACACAATATGTATGTGGACATTTTAAAAGCTATTATTAAACATTATACCACTACCTCCCTAATAAAAATTTTTAAAATACTTAAGCAATGTTTTTTAATACCTATAATCACCAAAATACCTTTCTTCTCAGCTACTGTCATTCTACAAAATAATAATAAAAAAAAAAAGTAAAATTTTTGTATTTAGGATGTAAACCATTCCTGGGATTTGGCATGGTAAATGTTCCAAAAGACTGAAAACAGGACAAATCAACGGGTAGGATTCGGATCAAAGCTCAGTGCCTGAATGACAACCAACCACTTGTCCTCCAGGCATGAGGACAGGTTCTGGCTCTGCTCTACCAGTGGGTACAGGAGGCAAGGCAGACAGATGGACAACCACTTCCAGAGAACAAGACCCACCCCAGAGTTGGTCCACAGGAAGGGCTACAGGAAACAGCACCCTGAAATCTTCCCCAGGCCTTAGCCCACACTGATGTGCCCTTAGAGATGCCATCAGCCAGACACCGTTCCCGTTATACCTCACTCGTCTTCCACTATGACTTCTGGGACTTAGTGAAATGAAATAATAAAATTGTACTTGCATTGGTACTCTAAATATGCAATTTGATACTTAAAAGTATTGGGAAGGTCCTCTCTGGGAAGACAATCAGGAACCTAACAACCTGAAACTGCCAGTAGTCCTCATGCTCCAAAACTGGCTTTAAAAAAAGAAGGTAGGCCAAGGAAAATCAAATCAATTTCTATTCCAGCCAGTAATGGTTATTGCATTGAATCCAATCCTCTGATTAAACATGATCATGTTCAGTTTTTATTATCCCTTGTGGGTGAATGTTGTAACTTAAGTGTGAAAATAGAGACTGTAACAAAGTCCTGCTCCCTCCCTACCAGGCAGCAAAGCACGCAGGGGCAACACAGCCAAGACAAGGGCTGGACTCTGTGCAGCCAGCAGGGCTGCCAGGGACCATCCACCACAGGACCTGTCCACGCATCTCATACTCAAAACACGTAAGATACACTCTTTCCCTTAGTTTACCGTGTGCTTTTAGACTGCAGTATGGGAACTGAGTACGAAGGATGTGAAATCTGCTTCTACCCCTCTCACAGTTTGTTTTCATGCCTTAAAACCTGCATGGCTGGAGCAGCAGGTGCTGACAGTGACATTGGGTGCAGAAGGGAAGAGTCACAGCAGGAAGACAGCTGGGCTCTGGGGCTTCAGGATCAATACAGTGGTCCTGTACTTTAAAACCTGGCACTCTTAACCTGCCGATTTAGAAACTGGAGGCAAAGGGATGGCTCATCAGACAGAACAGGCTCCAGGCCTTGGCTTGAAGGCAGGTCCATGCCCACACGGGGGCCCTTCTTCGCCCAGGGGGCCCTAACTGGGTTTAGTGGTGTGCCAGCATCTCCCAGCAACTTCCACAGGAGCAAAGTGACACACTCGGCAAAAATAGCAAACTTGTTACAATGTATGTAACACTTCAATATTGTTCCCCCCTTTCAGCCCAAACAGTTCAGACTTCTGAAATCTTTCTGTCTGAAGGAAAAAATGGTGACAGAATCATACGCTTCTTGAATACAGTCCTGTTTAATAACAAAGCCTGTACAGAGAGCTTTGTTTTGCCCAGCACAGTGGGATTAAATGACAAGAAGTTTTCTTGACTGCACTCCCAAACCTCACTTTCAGTTGGAGCTCTGCCTTCCCACAAAGCTCATTTCTTTGTTTATTCTCTCCCAGCTAGCCTACAAACGTTTCTATTATTGCCTCTCTGCTTTCCTTTTCTTGCTGCTTTTAACAGACTTTTAATATGGACACATCTAGATACAAATCGAACCCCTGCCCCTTATTTGCAATTTGCCTACTTTCAGACAGCATTCTTTCCAGTGTTTGGACTATCAGGAAACAGAGACCTTTAGCTATGAAGAATAGCCTTATTGCTTCAGATCAAAGGTCCACCTAGCACAATATTTGTCTGATCGTTCTCCATGATGCATCAGTTTATCATTCAACCCAGCCAGAGGCCTTTTTGCCAAGACAGAAATTAGGGTTCATAGAGACGAGGCTTCAGCTAGTTGTCAGAAGTGCTGAAGACATGCCATGGTACAAACAGGCTCTGAAAATGATGCAGGGCATCAGGGCAAAGCAGGGCAAAGCCAAGGCTGCCATCCCTCTCAGTAATACTCCTGCCTTGTAAAAATTGGATACCCAGTGCAGCACTACTACAGCATATAGCAGAAAGAACAGTGAATTGGGTACTGCCTGTGGAAAACACACATACTGTGATCAGCAACCCTGCTGACTGGCATCATTAGAAGCACACCAGAACAAAAAAGTGAGAAATAAACACAACAGAGATATTCCTTATGACAGACCATATATCTAGACAGATTAACAAAACCCTACAGAAACCAACAACCATTCACAAAAAACTGTCCATAAGCTGATGGCTCAGCTATAAAGAACTATAGAAAAGCATATACTTTATGTTCTCATCTTTGCTATTTTCATCTCAGAAAGTTTACTAAACATACCTTTTTTTTTTTACTTATTAGTCTTCAACTTATTAGGCTGACATGCAGGTTACTCTCTTCCAAGAAATTGCCTACTGTTTTGTTCCCTCTATTAGCTGGAAAGAAAAGCAGCTATCATGTCATCAGCTTCAGCAAGGCTCATGTCAAGTCAAGGACATGCTGCTTGGGATCTTCAGTCTCATAGCCATCTGCTTACCAAGTACCAAATAAAATACATTAAGTACACAGACTTTCTAATTGGCTCTTGTGAGTTACTGTTTCACACACACTTGCTTTACTGGGGATATCTATCATGTTCATCATCTGCGACTGTAGGTGGGTACCCATATCGTTACAGAACTAAGATACTTTGAAATAAATGCCAAAATATAATTAATATTTTTAAAAGTTAATTATGTAAACAAAAATTTTAATTGCAGTCGCCTAGTTTATTTTCCCTATAAGATGGCGTTTTTAATTGGTTATAACCTTGACAGTTTAACCAATTTTCCTTCTAAATAATGCCCTAGGCCATGCAGTTTTAGCACTCCTGGTTGTTGGTGGTTTTGGTCTGGTTTTGTTTTTAAGAATGATTTTTGGGAATAACAAGAAAAAAAAAAGACCTTAGACCTCCTTCGGTGAAGGAGCCAAGCGATGAAAAAACGCCGCTGTTCTGTGGACGCACGATGGTGTCGGGAAGTTTTACATAACCAACTGCTGAAAATGCCTTAGTGCGACGGGGGCCGTCCTCGCTCGCTCAAAGCCTGGCTGCCAAGTTTGCTGTTGTTTCCTTAAATACCAGCCAGGGCACTGCAAGCCCGCAGAGCCTCTCCGAGCCCCGCCGCCGACGGAGGCTGCGCTCCTTCCCAAGGCCGCCTCCCTCCCAGCCTTGCGGGCAGCCTGGCTCTCCGAAGCGGCCGTTTGAGCGCCGGGAGCGGAGCGTTTCAGCCGCCACTCCGGGAATCGCGCAGGGAATCACGGAGGGAATCCTCGCTCCCTGCCCTGGGGCCGGGCGGGCGGAGGGGGTGTCTGTGAGGGGGAGCGGCGCTGCGCCTGCGCCGAGGGGACCCCGGCGGCCATTTTGCAGCGTCAGGCGGGCGGCGAGGCGCCCCGGCAGCTGCGCAGAGGGGCCCAGGAGAGCCGGCGGGGAGGGCGGGCGGCGCAGGGCTATGAGTTAAAGTGCCGCCGCCGCCGCCCCGCCGAGTTCGGGCTTTTCCTCCCCGGCGTTCCCCCCTCCTCCCGTCCCTCGTACCGACAGCCGCCCCTCCCGGGCCGCCCCCACCCCCGCCAGCCGTGCCTGTCCCAGGGCCGCCCGCGCCATGCCGTCCGTGCCGCTGCCGCCCAAGGAGAGCAACCTCTTCAAGCGGATCCTGGTGAGCCACCAGCCCCGCTCCTCCTCCCGCCGCCGCTTCTCCCTCCTCTCCTCTTCCCTCTGGCTCGCCGGCCTCGCTCGGTGCCCTCCGGGTCACTTCGCCCGCCGCCGGAGTTGGCCCCGGCTGAGCGCACACGGATGCGGCGGCCGCGCTCGCCCGGGGGAGCCGGGCTGCCGTCGCCTCCTCGCCCCGGTTCGTCCCCGCTTCCTTCCTTCCTTTGTCTGGGGCCCGCCGAGCAGGCCGGGCGAGCCGCCCCTGCTCGTGTTGGCGGCCGGGAAGGGCTGGTGTGGCCCCCGGCCGGGGGAGGGCGGGAAGGAGGGAGGGAGCCAGGCGGGCTCCCCGGGCCGCCGAGCGCCTTCCTCCCGCCCGCCGCGGGGACTGCGGGGCGAGCCGGGGCCGCGCCGCCGCTCCCCTCCCTCTCCGCGCAGCGCGGAAGGAGGAGACCTCGAAGCACGGTGCGAGTGCAGCAGGGTTTGCTGTTGCTTGGTTGATTCCCATCTGCGCTTCGTTTCCAGCGAGAGCTTCGGCTTTGGTGTAGGGACCGGGTTAAAAGTAGTTCGCTCGCTCAGCAGTTTTGAGTGTAGTTGAAGACGTGTGGTGGAATGAAGTATCCTGCTTCTGTGCGTCCTTTGGAGGACTTGTCTCAACTCCTTTGTGCTGGGCGAATTTCGCTCTTTGAGACTTAACGATGCAAGGGACGTTTAGTGTTTGCGAGGTAACTTTGAAGAAGGACCTTGCTTTAGTTGTGGGTTTCTAACTCAATCACTGTACTTTATCATGATAACACATTATGGAAAAAAAAAAGCCCCACTCCTCCCTCCGGAGACAAGAAAACACCACACTCCCTTTTTCGCGAGCTTGTCAGTGTGATGGTAATGGAGTTCCAGCCTCAACAAAATTGAGGTGTTTTGTTTCAGTTTACCACTCTGCAGGCAGAGGACGTCTGTGCAGCACACTAAGTAATCCTGCTGGCAGGCGGAAATTTCTTCAGTTCTCTCTGAGTTGGTTAGGTAGTTTCAGTGCTTCAGAACCACAGTAGTGGTTCAGAGGTTGACATTTGGGCTTCAGGAAGCTGAGGTCAAACAGTGTCAGTAAGCTCCTGTACTCTGTACAGAGCTGGTTTTTTTCAGCAGGTTCTTCAGAGCTGTTTTCTTTTGGCCGCTTTGCATAGTGTACAGGTTTTAAAAACTTACTGGTTCTTAATGGTGATTTGTTGCTTACTGCATGCTTATGGTATGCATCTTAGTAAGTCATTCTAGCACTCCTCTTTCTCTCGGCTAAAAATAAGTGACTAATATTAGAACGGTTAAGTGATTATTCTTACTAGCAGCAGACAAGTTCACAGTAGCAGCCACTTAAAAAGTTTTTTTGATTGGATTATAGAATGGCTTTTTAGAGATCATATTTTAGACTTTTTTTAATATTCAACGATGGATAAAAGTGTTGGAAATTAGTGCTTAGGCGAGATACATAAAACTTCAGTGAAGTTCATGCAGAAATGTACTTATGTTCTGAAACTTTCAGAAGCCTTTAACTGGTGCTGTGTAGTGGCCAGTTGCAGTCCTAAAGTGTTGATCACAAAGCTACTGGCTTGTCTCTTCATGTAGTGTCTCTTCTTGAAACTTAATTTCTTAAAATTTTTTTCTGACTAGCTCTGACTCTTATGGTGCACTTCTTTCTGGAATACTAATGTTGGCATACTACAAATGGAACCCTTTGTTTGCTTGACATGTCTCAGGGTATTTTTGTTTAGTAGTATAGCTTGTGGTGCTAAAGGCCCTTTAATCGAACCAGCTTTTGCTTACTTTGGCACTGCTAGAATATTTTAAATGCCCATAGCATTCCTAGTAATTTCCAAAATTGGGGGCAGGGATTAAGTGGGAGGCTGCATAATAAGACCCTACAAGCATGTAGGGTCTTATTAAATCGCTACAAGCATATAGTGATTTAATCACTTGGGACAGATGCAAGGAAATTATACTCATAGATTAGGCCTTTAGTATTTTTATGAATGCTCTGCAGAGAATTAGCAGTTGAAGAAGGGAAAACTGATTTGGAGATCATGAGAAATCCTTCACAGTGACTTGATGTGTGGATGTAACATATCAGACAGGTTATCAATGTTCTGAACAAGATGCCCAAGTAACAGCAAAGCTGTCAGAGCTGCCCTGGCTAGTGTGGCCTCTTGGAGATCAATGTAAGCTGAGAAGTCTGCTCGAGAAGCTGAGTAAATAGTCTTTAAGCCACATCAATTTGTGTGCTTGCATGCTTGGCAAGGCTTGAACAAGCTGACTTAAAACTAGCACTTAGGTGATTAGGGAAGCAATAGCAATTGTGGCATAGGTAGTAGTTGATCAGGACTACTGTAAGGTAATGCTAAAGCTCCTTTCTTGCTCTGTTCTGTCTTCCAGTTCAGTTTTGTTTCTTAGGCCATACTTTCATTGTTCTGCAGAGACTTGCAGTCTAGATGCTCTTCCCCTGGAAGACCTGTTGTGCTTACAGGTGTGCTGTTTGGGGGTAAGGGGCTGAGCAGCTTCAAGCTCTTCCACTTCACAGCCTCACAGAAGGCATGGATGAAGTATTTGAATATGTTCCCCTCTCATGGAAGGGGAAAAACATCATAAGTAAGAATTAATGTAGGAGTGCTTGTGCGTTTCTTGCAAATTAAAGTTGATCTTCAGCTTAGGTGATTTTTTTTAAGTGAATGGGGCAGATGCTGTCTGAAATAAGCATACTCCTGGTAGCTTAGAAAGGCTTCTTGTTAAGGTTGAAGTTTGGTATCATGTACTTGGTGTTTACTTCTAGTAAGCTTAGCCTAATCTTCTATTTTGTGTATTTAAAATTGAGCTGTAAACTTGCCTTCAGAGTATGTTTCAGTTTAAGCAGCTTTGATTTTTTTTTTCTTTCACCCAAGAATCCATACTATAAACTGTCTCAGAGATAGTCTTAAACATTGGCTTTATGGACTCAAGTCAGCCCTGTCTGTACAGGGCATGGCAGTAGTCTTTGTAAGTAGTCTAGAAGGCTTTAGAGGAAAGCCTTGGGGTTCTTGTCATGCTTTCATGGCTCACTTGCCAAGTTGGTCTTGTTTTGTTTTCAAGAAATGCTTACTGTCTTCTAATATGTATTGGTGTGAGCCCAGGCTCAAGCAGTGTAAGGTATGATCTGATGTTGTTTCATGTTTGATAGAACTGTGGATAGTATTGTACCTGTAACTGACTAATCCTTTGGTTTCTTAGCAAATTCCTCATATTGCTGTTGCCTAAAATAAGGTTTGCTGCTTTAATTGCAGATGACTTCAGCTAATAAGACACAAAAAGTCTGGAAGTATATAGCCTTGCAGCAGTGGGTTGTTACTGCTCAGTTCATTCAGGCATACATTTTCCATTTTTCAGGGTAAGGAAATGTTAGAAATTACTTCAAGTGCCCTCTCTGAGGACTTGTTCAACTTCTCTGTAATGTCCTTTTCATTCTCCAACTTCTTCAATAACCTTAAGAGATTTCTTTTTTGATAAAATATAAATATACAGGTGTTTGTAGGATTTAATTAATTCTTATCCATAGAATTCTGAAAGCTTTTTTAAAATTTTATTTAATGAAATAATAATAGTTTATAAGCACGCAACTAGTCAGTCTCCTGGGAATGATGTGGGGGAGTTACTGAACTATTAAATTTGATAATTGGGAAGTTATGTTATGCTCATTAGGATCTCCCAAATGAGATCGATACCATAGCTGAGGTAGCCATTATTAACCCACCACTGGAGCAGTGGATATATGAAGTCTTTGACATTTAAAGACCCCTTCCTTTTAAAGACAGGAGTTTGGAGCAGTTGCTTAAAATCTTGTGGTGTAACTCAGGACTGATTCTTGGTGTGGTTGTTGCTTGTGCTGCTGAGGACAGGCAGCCTAGGAAGAGTGTAAGGGGTTTCCTCCATAAGGACTTTCAGACAAGGTGGTGAGGATGCCTGGCCACTGCAAACTACTGAAATGACAGAATTGCAGAGGATAGATGCCAGCCTGGTGGTAAGAGTCAGTAAGGCTTTCATAAGGGAAAGTCACACTTCACATTTGTCAGTGATTTGAGACAGTCTCATTTGGAGAAGACTTAATCCCAGATAGATATTCTTGGTTTAGTTTTTCAAAAGGAGTTTGTGAAGGTCATCATGCAAGGCTCAGAAAGGAGGCTTCTGTGGAATGCTGTGGGTTGTTTCTTGATTCTGGACTTTTATTTATACTTTTATTCTAAAAAATGTTAATTTTTCAGAGTTAAGTCTCTCCATGTTTTATGCTGGAATTTTTTCTTATTTGGCTGTTTATATGGAACAGAACAAGCACTGAATAGCAGGAAGAGTTCAGTTCTGAACTATTTGTGGCACAAAAAGTGAAGGCCACCTGAAAGCTTCCATGTTTTTGGAGCAAGTTGAGTCATAACAAGTAAAATTGCTTGTAGAGGAATGTAGGACTTGGAAATCCTAATTTATTGCAGACCTTGTATGGGCTGTGAGATGGATTGCCCCAAGATTTGAGATTTTGAGAGGTATTTGAAGCTTCATTAAAACAGTTTCCCCGATACATTGAAAACTGGTGATTCCTGGGAAATCCATAGGCTGTTATGCTACTGCCCAAGTACACTGCAAGTCTATGTTTGCAGTGCAGTGTGCTTTGCTCTTTCCCCTGGTTCGTCCCCCAAGCCTCCTCGGAAGGAGGAGTATGAAATTGGAGGGAGAAAGACCTTAACAGAAGATTCAGGAGTTAAGTAAGTATTTGCCTGTCTTGAAGCTATCATGATTTATTTTGATTTTGGTAGAAACAGTGGCTGCAAAG